ACCTGTACTTTTTTTTTTTTCCTGTATTTAGGGAAGGGTTTATTGGGTGTTCAGGGTCTCACTATGTAGATCAGACTCGTAGTGATTTTGCTGTCTGCAGCCTTCCAAGTGCTGGGATTACAGGCTTGTGCCACCACTCACCATCTCAGCATGCCCCTGGGGTGGGGTCGGCATGGTAGGCCCAGGGATTGAACCCCCAGCCCCAGCATCTGCCTAAGCAGGTGCTTTAATCCACTGAGCTATTTGGCAAGCCCTAAAACCTGTATTTGTCTGGCTACTACAGCATACACATTAGCAAAAGTACTTCCCTCCCATACATACATAAATGATGAGAACTGATTTAGGTGGGAGGTACATCCCCAGCCCAGAGGGGCATGATTGTTTTTGTTTTTGTTTTTTGTACCAGAAATCAAACTCAGCGCCTGCCAGGCAGGTGTTTGTGCTGCTGAGCTATCTCCCTGGCCCATAGCAAATGCTCATTTTCTATGGGCTCAATTTGAAAGTTTTTTTTTTTGTTTTTTTTGTTTTTTTTTTTTCTGAACCAGGGATTGAACTCAGGACCTTGCGCTTGCCAGGGAAGTGCTTATTCCACTGAGCCATCATCCCAGCCCCAAAAGTTCTTAATTGTTAAGTAGGAGGGAAAGATTGAGGCATATCAGAACTAAAACCTTTTCAGAGTCTCTATGATCTTTACAAGAAACATACCTCAAAAAAAGGGGCAGGGGACAAAGTACAAAGTAACAAAAGAATCAGAGATGAGGGGCTGGAGAGATGGCTCAGTGGTCTAAAGCACCTACTTGAAACAAGCTTGGCAAAGCACAGGGACCTCGGTTCGATCCCCCAGCACCACATGCCAGCCAGCCCCGCCCCCTGGTGGGCTGAGCTGGCCACACACACACACAATAAATAAATGTAATAAATAAAAATAAATAAATATTAAAAAAAAAAAGAAGAATCAGAGATGAGATCAGAAAAAGAAAGTCTTAAAAAAGTCTTCTCTCACACACGTTGAGTTAGTGAAACTGCCCATGAGTCCTCACTGTCAGCCTGGAAAGTCAGAAATGAGGAATCTAAGAGCTAAGATTGCTTCCTCAGCAGTGGAAGCTCAGAAGGGAGAGGAAACTGAGGCAGGGCAGGTTTGATATTCCCTTCTATGAACATGGAGGGGGACCAGGCCAGAACGTATTAGTGAATCCTGTCCTTGCAGATTTAAGGTTGGCAGCCACACTGTCAAAAGTAAGTGGCTGGCCCAGGGAGATAACTCAGTAGAATAAGCACTTGCCTAGCAAGGGTCCTGAGTTCAATCCCTGGTACCAAAAAAAAAAAAAAAAAAAAAGTAAGTGGTTGAGGTGTCCTCAATTTATAAGAGATATTTGTATTTCATAAACTAGGTTTTATTTTTTAAAAAATTTACAACATTTTACAAATTCACATTTTGAGAACAACTTAAATATACCACCATTAACAAAAACCAAGACATTAAAAAAAACAAGCATAAATGGCTGGGCATGATGGTGCACCTAATCCTAGCACTTGTGAGGCTGAGGCAAGAGGATTGTATTAAGTTCAAGGCCAACCTGGGATAAATGGTGAATTCAGGAATAGCCTGAACTACACAGTGGGACCCTGTCTCAAAAAAAAAAAAAAAAAAAAAAAGCATAAGAGGCCAAGACAAACATCTGGTAAACAAGGATCACAGTTTCTTTCTTTCTTTTTTTTTCTGGTACCAGGGGTCAAACTCAGGACCTTGTGCTTGCTAGGCAGGTGCTTAAGCCACTGAGCTATCTCCCTAGCCCAAGAATCACAGTTTCTTATTACCTAATTGAGTCACAATCAATCCATGGGATGAGCATATAGCTCAGTGGCACAGTGCATGCCTGGCAAGCACAAGGTCCTGAATTCTATTCCCATTATCAAATGGGAAAAAAAAAGTATGATAGAATCCATGAGACAAAAGCAAACTCTTGCCTTCCAGTTATTTTGGTGGAACATCCAAAATGATCGATAGGGGCCGGGGAGTTAGCTCAGTAGAATAAGCGCTTGCCTGGCAAGTGCAAGGGCCTGAGTTCAATCCCCAGTTCTGAGGAAAAAAAAAAAAAGATTGATATAGGGAGGCTGGCCAGATAGCTCAGTGAACTAAAGCACCTGCTTAGCAGAGTGCAGTGGCCAGGGTTCAATCCCTGGTGTGTTGTGCTGGCCCCACCCCCCAGGCACGCTGAGACAGGGATTGAGACTGGGTATGGTAGTGCAGGACTGTAATCTCAGTACTCGGGAGGCTGAAAGCAGGAGGATCACTCCGAGTCTGATCTGTGTATTGAGACCCTGTAGACCCTGTACTATATACATTTAAAAAAAAAAAAAGATGTAGGGGAAAAAATATGTAATTCCTAGCCTGCTGGATGTCAGATAATGCCAAATTTGGTTCCCCAAAGTTGTAGATTTAATTCTAAGGAACAAATGGGGCTTGGGGCTTAAGAGTAAGAAAATTTACTGGGGAATACAACTAGCTCCTAAAAGACAAGAGGGTTTTGAATGAGTTGCCCAACTTAACACATTCAGAGGATTTAAACTAAAAAAAAAGTTTCAGCTGCTGAAAATATTTTGGTACAGTTTGTGTTTGAGTATCTTAAGAGAAAAATACAATGCTGGAATTCTAGGAGTCACAGGAGAAGTAACTGGGGGCTCCTGGCAATGCAGTGGGCCAGTAGGTTCTGGAATGTTGGTTTCCTGTCTTGTTAACAACAGTAGTGGAAAAAAAAAAAACAAACAAACCAGAATAAACTCTTGCCTGGCAAGCTCAAGGTCTTGAGTTCAATCCCCGGTACTGAAAAAAATTAAATAAATAAATAAAATAAAAAACCCAGCAGTGGTGATAATCTTAGTAATTCAGATCTGTGCTTTTGACTAAACAAGATCATGCTCATCCTAGTATCCATTAAAACTATGAGTTAATTCAAGGATGATACTGAATGATAGAATAAAGCTGTTTCCTTTCAGAGTATTCAGACTATTTTTCGTATCAAATCAGTTGAGATGTGAAAAGAAGCAGTGTGTTATAGTGTAGAGTCCATTTTCCTTTTTCTCTTTCTCCTTCCTTTCCTTTCTGCTTACCCCAATTTATCCACCCTAGGAGCGTAAACAGTCAGTTTAACAATTTTTTTTTTCATTTTAATTATTTTAACTATCATTTAACTCAGTCAAATAGGTCCAGGCTTGTGGTAGGGAACAACAACTAAAAACTAATTGTACCACTGAGATGTCATGTTAATTTGCAGACATGTTTGGGATTTCTGCTCTTTCCACAGTTGTGCTAGGCATTGGTAAAAGTAAATCAATTCTCAAGAAACAGAAAAACCAATAATATGTGTCAGTTCACATTAGGAACCAGATACAAGATGAAGTACCACCTAGCAGTCGGGAGGCTGAGTCAGGAGGACCACTGTGAGTTCGAGACCAGCCTGGGCTACAAAGTGAGCTCAGGGCCATCCTGAACTGCATCATGAGACCCTGTCTCAAAAAGACAACAAAATAGGGCCTGGGAGATGGCTCAGTGGAATAAGTGCCTGCCTGGCAAGCACAGGGTCTTGAGTTCAATCCCCAGTACCACAAAAAAAAAAAAAACTGAGTTCAATCCCTAAAAACACCTTAAAAAAAAAAAAAAAAAAATGGGAGGGGGGAGGAAAAGGGAAAGGAAAGGAGAAAGGATTCCAAATAATTTCAGTGGTACTAGAGATTTACTTTAGTTAAGACCTTTTACTTATAACCAGAATAGATTAAAATTAACAATTTCATAATCTTTTTTTTTTTTTTTTTTTTTTTTTTTAATACAGGGTCTACAGGTCTCACTACATAGATCAGACTTGTAGTTATTCTCCTGTTTTCACTTTACCAAGCACTGGGATTACAGGCACGTGCCACCAGGCCCAGTCTTAATTGCCTCAGGGCACCCTGGGGTTGGGGTCAGGAGGCTGCTGCTGCTGCTGCTGCTGCTGCTGCTACTGCTGCTGCTGCTGCTGCTGCTGCTGCTGCTGCGCTCTGCCTAAGCAGGCGCTCTTTTGTTTTAAAGAGACCAGGTCTTCTATGTTGTCCAGGCTGACCTCAAGTGCCTGGGTTCAAACACCCCTCCTCCCTCAGCCTCCTAAGTAGCTGAAACTACAAGCACACGTCAGTACACTTGCCATAACCTCTAGTTTTACTTGAAATGATGAGGATGGAAACACAGAGAAAGTGACAGCTGCTGAACAAGCATACATTAATGGGGTCTATTCATGATTATGTAGGACAGTGGTGGTGAGCCTATGGTACATAGGCCGCAGTGGGCAAACAAAGCCCCCTCTGTTGCACATGAGCCAAGTCACCCTGTTATCACCCCAGCAGCCAAACATTCAGGTTTAATTGCAGGGTTAGCACTTTGTGATAAATAAGTGGGTTGCAGTCTTAAAACGTTTGCCATCACTGATTTAGGATCTTGTTTTGTCTGTTGTGACTCCTATGTGCATTGATTTTAGCCTAGCTTTCGGTAGCATCCTACTGGCGTATGTGGTAGCATCTGCTTTTTTTGTTGAGGGGTATTTGAGTTTTTTTGTTTTGTTTTTGTTTGTTGACATAGGGTGTCACTATGTAGGTTTTTTTGGGGAGGATATTTTAAATATACATAGTAATTCACTATGTACTTTAGACTCGCCTTGAGCTATGTAGTCCAAGCTGGCTTTGATTTAGCCTTCCAGCCTGGCGCGGAGACCGCTGTGCTAGGTCGCCACCTTGATTTAGCCTTCCAAACATTGAGATTACAAGTATGTGCCACCATGCCTGGATCTCTGGTTTTTTTCCTTTATTTATTTATTTATTTATTTATTTATTTATTTTTTAATATACTGCTAGGAATGTATCCTACCAATCATTTTCAGACTAGTTTGATGATTTTATTAGAAGCTGAGTAAGCACTGTAGTTGAGCAAAAGGCTAGAACTCTGTGTGACTGCGACCTCATCTTATTTCAAGGTGATTCTGTGGAACCTGCAGAAGGCCCGGCCTCTCTGGATTGCTCATCTCCAGGAGGATGAGGCAGAAGACATGGAAGGCCCTCAGTCCCCCAGCCAGCTCTTAAATCCCGCCCTCGCCCACTCTGTCTCTGTGGCATCATGTGGCAACATTTTTAGTTGTGGCGCAGAAGACGGTAAGGTGCGAATCTTCAGGGTGACAGGAGTCAAGTGTGAACAAGCACTGGGATTTAAGGGCCACACTCTGGGCGTGGCCCAGGTCTGCTTTCTGCCAGAATCGTATTTGCTGCTCACTGGAGGGAATGATGCAAAGGTAATGCTGTGGGATGTGAGCGGGGCAGTTGAAAAAAACCAGAAGAGTCCTGTGAAACAGAGCCAGAGGAAGAAAACTAAGAGGGCAGCTAATGCCAAGCAGGCTGGGAACATTGACACCACAGCAGTGGATGGGGAGGAGCATAGCAAGGTGTCACCAAAGATGAGCATCGAGCACGGAGACAAGGTGAACTGGCTCATGGGTACAAAAATAAAGGGGCAGCAAAATATATTAGTAGCTGACCAAACTAGTTGTATAACTGTATATCCCTTAAATGAATTTTAAACCAAATAAAAACATTTGAAGAACTGTGGTGAGACTTAATGTTTAGTTTTTTAAAAATCTTGCCTCATTTAAAGTATCTCTAACATTCATGCCATTTCATTGTGTACAGCTTAAGGAATCTGAACAAAAGATGGTAATTGGATTATACTTCATGTAGTTACCATTAAAATGTGGAGAAAGAGAACAGCCAATTTACATGTATTTCTTTTTTTTTATTTTTTTAATGTATTTAGTGCAGCGTGTTCAGGATCTATAGTCTCACTACGTAGATCAGACTCGTAGTGATTCTCCTGTTTTCAGCCTCCCAAGTGCTGGGATTACAGTGTGCTCTAGGGGCAGGGCCTAGGGAATTGAACCCCCTAGTCCCTGTTTCTGCCTAAGCAGGTGCTTTAATCTACCGAGCTATCTGGCCAGCCCTCATGTATTTCATTTTTTTACTGCAAATCAATGAAACAGGCAATTTCCCGTACTTTATTAACAACAGGAATCAAGACCCAGAGCTGTAAAATAACTTGAGAATCCAGGAAAACTTTAGGCAATTAGTTACTTGCCTGAAAAGGACCTGGATTGTGTTGTTATGCCTCATGCTTGGGGACACCCACATCCTGACCCAAATGTGGTCACCACATTAGTTAGAGCTGGTGTTCTGGACCCATGATGTCATGAGGCACCTAAGCAGGTTGTAAGAGAGGAAATCTTGTTCTTGTTAAGCCCAGACACTTTACTCACAGTTACCTATTTCTGTCTGTTAAGAAAAGGATTCCAGGGTCAAGTCAATTTGGAATATTATGCAGCAGTTCAGGCCACGATGCTGGTAGAGTCAGGATAAACTGAAGCTATAAATAAGCAGCTTCTGACTAAGCAAAGGTACAAGGTAGGAAAGAGAAAAGCAGCAAGGTAGTAGAACAGGAGTGTCTTGTTTCAGCAAGGCCTGGCCTGCTGTATTTTCTGGATGTTCATTTAGCTTTTGCTCAGTTCCTACACTTAAATTCCAAGTTTAAAAAGGGAATGATTGTTTGTCTATTGTCTTTATTTGTGGGAAGCTCTTTTTAATAAGCCATGTTTTAGTCAGGACTCTTTTTTGTGTGGTTGGTTGATTTTTTTTTCTTTTTTTCTTTTTTTGGTACCAGCAATCAAACTCAGGACCCAGGCAAGTGCTTGTGCCACTGAGCTATCTCTCTGGCCCCTATTTTTTTTGGTTTGTTTGCTTGCTTCTTTCTTTGTTTGGTTAGTTTTTGGAGACAGGGTCTTGTGTAGTTCAGGATGGCCCTGAACTTACTACATAGCACATGCTGGCCTCAAACTTGGGGCAATTCTCCTGCCTTAGCCTCCTGAGTGCTGGGATTATGGGCATGTGCCACCACACCTGGAAAAATTTTATTGGTACACTTTGTTTTTGTGTTGTTGGAACCAGGAATTGAACTTAGGACCTTGTGCTTGCCAGGCAGGCACTGTGCCACCGAGCTATATCCCTGGCCCTTGGGAGAATCTTTTATTTATTTATTTATTTATTTATTTATTTATTTTGTGTGTGTGTATGGCCAGCTCAGCCCACCAGGGGGCGGGGCTGGCTGGCATGTGGTGCTGGGGGATTGAACCGCAGTCCCTGTGCTTTGCTTAGCTTGTTCTAAGTAGGTGCTTTAGACCACTGAGCCATCTCACCAGCCCCCTTGGGAGAATCTTTTGAAAAATTACCTGATTTTTAATTATTTAGTGCAAGAGCAGACAACCACTCAGACATAAGCAGAAGTACTTTTACTATCAGAACAAGGGGGCGGGCGGGGAGATGGCTCAGTAGGCTAAGCGCTTGACTGGCAAACGCAGGGATCTGAGTTCAATCCCCAGTTCCGCCAAAAAAAAAAAAAAGAACAAGGGGGGACAGAAAGGACAGCTCCCTCAACATAGAGGTAAAATGCTCACTTGAGTCTCTAATGACTGAAGCCATTAAGAACCAAGGGGGAAGGGGCCAGAGAGATGGATCAGTAGAATAAGTGCTTGCCTGGCAAGCGTAAGGGCCTAAGTTCAGACCCCAGTTCTGCCAAAAAAAAAAGAAAAAAGAAAGAACCAAGAGGGAGCTGGGGAGATAGTTCAGCAGCATAAGCACCTGCCTGGCAAATGCAAAGTCCTGAGTTCAATTTCTGGTACAAAAAAAATAAAATAAAATAAAAGAACCAAAAGGGGAGCAAGCTATGATGGCCCACACCTGTGATCCCAGCACTTGGGAAGCTGAGGCAGCAGGATTGCCAGGAGTTCAAAGCCAATCTGAACTACACATTGAGATTCTGTCTCAGAAATTTAAAAAAACCAAGGTGGGTGCACAGCAAAAGGAACTACTAACAGAGTGAAGACACAACCTTCAGAATAGGGGGAAAAAAATTGTACCAGCTACTCTTCAAAGCTAACATTTAGAATTCATAAAGAACTAAAAAAATGAGGACCCCCCCCTCAAATTTAAAGACCAAAGATGAGCATCTGAAATGAATAGACATTTCTCAGATGGAAAATGTATGGCCAGGCATGGTGGTGCACACCTGTAATCCTAACACCCATAAGACTGAGGCAGGAGGATTGCTGCAAGTTCGAGGCCAGCCTCAAAGTGAGGTCAAGTCATCCCAAACTGCATAGTGTAACCCTGTATCAAAAAGAAAAAAATTTTTTTAAAAACTTCTAGTAGCAAATACATAAAAAGAATGTTCAACATCAGTGGTCATTTGAGAAACTCAGAACAATACTGAGATTCCATCTCACCCCAGAAAGAATGGCTACTATCATGAAGTCAACGAAGAACAATTCTGGCAGGCCTGTGGGGAAAAAGGAACCCTTCTGCACTGTTGGTGGGAGCGTAGACTGGTGCTACCACTGTGGAAGTTCCTTCAAAACACTTAAATAAGACGTTCCCCATTTGACCCAGCTGTGCCTCTTCTAGATACCTTCTCAAAAGAGTAAAAGCATCCTACCACAGCAATATATGCACACCCATGTTTATAGCAGCACAATTTATAATAGCTAAATCTTGGAAACAGCCCATATACCAATTAACAGATGAATCAATAAATATGGTATGTATATACAGTGTAGTACTACTGCCATAAGGATAAATGAGTCATTTCTAGGTAAATGGATGCACTTTGGGACCATAATCTTAAGTGAAATAAATTAGACACACAAGTTTAACTATTGCATTTTTTCTCTTGTGAGAGAAACCCAAAGGAAAAATAAGGAGCAAAGTAGAGACAGACCATTGGAAGTAAGAAGAACATGTTCAAATGAGAAGGGGAACAAGGTGGGGGAGATGGAAGGGAAAAAATGGAAACAAAACTTTTATAGGATTCCAAGCTGTGTAGTGAGACCCTGTACCAAATATGTAAAAAAAAAAAAAAAAAAAAACCTTATAAATGAGAGGAAGAAAGGGAAGTGAATGAGGAAAAAAGAATTAAGATATTAAAATATATCATGTACAGGTACAAATTCCCTATGATGAATGTGGTCATGATGTATGGCAAATATGTATGAATAACAACAAAAGCCCCAATGGAGGTATCTCAGTGTAGAGCACTAGCAACTATAAAGTCCTGAATTCTGTTCCTAGCACCACAAAAAACAAAGTAGCAAGGCAGGTTGTGAGGGTGATCTGGCTGTGATGTGTCACTCCATTGATCACCAGAGTTGAGGTGGCTGATCTGGCTGGCTAAGCAGTGTCCCTTCATCTCACATTGTTCCATGTGTGGCCCTCCCAACGCTGTGTGCTTGGTGGAAGAGAACAGTGCTGTCCAACCTAGGTGGCCTATTCTTTTATCCAGGGTACAGGAGCCTCTGGGCTGTACTGTCGGAATCTCTGAGCAGGCTCTCAGGCAGGTGTAACTTCCCTCTCTGAGTTTTTGTGGTCATTTGGCTCTGTCTCTGGCTGTTTGTACAAAACATGGCATTTGGAGGGCCACATCAGCTATTTCAATGCCAGAAATGAAATAAACAGGGTCCAGGTCCAGGTCCTAAATTCCCAAAGATAATCTGATTGGCCCCTCTTAGCTGTCCCCTCCCATCCTGTTGGCTCTACTCACACACTATGAGCATCACCAAGGGGGCCACCCCCTTAGGTGGGGATATGGTTCTCAGAAGCTTGGGCCTAGTAGTTAGCCACTAATCAGGACAAATAGGAATCTCACGGGCTAAAAGGGCAGCCCTGTGAGGCATGGTTGCACACGCCTGTAATCTTGGCACTCAGAAGGCTAAGGCAAGAGGATCGTTGGAAGTTCAAGACCAGTTTGTGCTACAAAGTAAGCTCAAGCCCAGCCTGAACTGCATAGCGAGACCTTATCTCAAAAACTAAATAGGCAGCCCCAAAAGATTTATAGTCACTATTAACATTTGGTTAATGAATGTGTGTTGTGAAGGGTGTTGGCTATCGTGTTGCAGTCTGACTCAATATACAAGCAAGTGGCAGGCCCACAGTAGTTATGAGAATCTGGAGAGATATCTGGAAACAGAAGAAAGCACTGGGGTAGCATTCTGAACACAGCTTAGTGTAGTGGTCAGAAGGCCACTCAGGTGGCAAACAGAAATGTCTGTGGTTACCCCCTCAGAAGTGGGACTCCAATGACCCCCAACTTAAGCAGACAAAAAATGTTCCCAAAGCTAACCAGGTTGTAATCACAGGAACCTGTAATAAATATTACTTTTGGTGAGAGGATCTTCTCAGGGCAATTGAATTATGAATCAACACATTATGTTAATCATAATTTTGACATTTGTATGCTTACTTTCCTATTTCTATTGGCTTATAAGACACCTGGGGGTAAAGGCTGTTTCATTTCAGAACACATGCCATGGCCTATCCTGGACCCCTCAACCAACGTAGACAGTACTTATTAAGTGAACTAAGTGAGGAGGCATGAAATAGGAAGACATGAAGTAAAGTCAGCCTGAAGGGAACCCATGGCAGGACTTCCAGGCAACCAGAAAAAACTTTGTGTTTTAGATTTTAGGGAAGAAAAAGAGGCCTAGGACAGGATCCTGCTATGTAATTG